ATGGATGCGACAAAAGATTCACTTATAACTGCAATTTAGTTACACATATAAATAGCATTCACATCAAAAAAAGATTTGTTTGCGATTGGAGTGAATGTAAGCAAACATTTAGTGCAAAATCAAATCTAAATCAACACAAACATAATGTTCATTTAAATGAGAGAAAATACAAATGCAATGAACATAATTATTGCAAAAGTTTTCATACAAAACAACACCTCAATGGACATCTTAAGACACACAATAAAATTAATTGATTTTATTGTAAACATTTGAAAATTAAACAATTGATTAAATAATAGTTATTTTTTAAATGAATTAAATAGAAATAATTCAAATTATACTAATAATGAATTTAATGTATAAATACTGTATCGAAATAAAACAATATTAAATCTTAAATAATAATACAATTATAAGGTTTTGATACAAAACTATTTTTCGATCAAAAGTCCGTTACATGAGTCATAATTTTATGGCAAACAACTATTTGCAATTTTGTGTTAACATCCATTTACTGTTAAATTATCTCTATTATTATACATACTGTAGATATATTAATAGTATAGTTACTGTACTACAATATATGCATTGATGTTTTATTTTTTCAAATTTCTAATCAGAATTTTATAAAACATTGTAGTATTAAATTAATTTTGCAAATACTTGACCTTATAATGTCAAGTATTTACCCTTCCCGTGATCCTTGACCACGGGCACCGGGCACTCGTCCAGCCCCTACAAGTCCGACGAGTAGGCGTCCGCTTGGAGTGAGTGTTGGCACTCAGACCGGTCCCTGCCGGCCCCCTACCACCACCAGAAATACACAGACACAGGCCTTTCCACTCACTCGTACGTCCAGAGGCACTCAAACAGAGCCCTACCGACCCGGTCAACCCACTCTCAGTAGCAGAGGTACGCAGACCCCGGCCCTCACGAGGTCTTTTGGTACACAAACAGATCCCATCCCACCCCGGCCTACAAGGAATTGATCAGAAGTCCAGTTCCCACCACTATTTCTAGAGTCAGGGCTCAGGAACTCCCGGTTTCTCAATACCCGGGCAAAGAGGACATTGAGAGCAGTGGGAGTGAGAGTGAAGACGAGATGACACACCTGTAGTCAATCGGGTCTACACTAGTGGAAAGGGATTTAGTTTTGGTTTTATGTAGGGTTTGATTAACATATTTATTTGAGATTAAAACCAAAATCAAAGTAAAAATTTTAGTAAAACTATGGATTTGTAGTTATTTTATAGTTTTTGATTGAATCTCTTTATAAGAAAACATTATATACTAAACTACATATAGTAAACATTATATAGTAAACTGTGTATTTGAAGTAAAATCTGAGCTAGGTTGTACACTACTAAGAAATAATATAAATTTATACTATTAGAAGCTTTGTTCCAGGTAATTTTTGAATATAACTGCCTGAATACTTTGGACTACAGTACTTTATAAATTTATTTGATTGTTATATAATTTTCAAAGTATGCAAAACATTTTACTAATTTAGATGATTGTTTCAAAAAGTTAGCCATTTTTTGGTTTCAAATTTTACCAAAAACTTAAGTCAAAAATCGGTTGAGAGTCCGAAGCGACACTAAAAGAGACAATTTGTGTCCAAAACAAGGGCTCACTCGAAGACCACACGAAGACATCCAAAGGGTTTTCGGCGAAACAATGACTGCATTGAAGCGAATCCACAAAGACTTACAGGAATTGCGCAGAAATCCTGTGCCGGGCTGTGCGGCCACACCCGTACCCCCGGGCACCGACATGTTTCACTGGGAGGCCACCATTGAGGGCCCGCCCGACACGCCCTACTCGGGCGGCCTATTTCGACTGTCCATTGAGTTTCCGCAGGACTTTCCGTTCAGTGCGCCCAGGATTTGGATGAAGACCCGTATATATCACCCCAACATACAGCCCACGGGCCTCATATGTCTGGACACCTTAACCAGCCACTGGAGTTCAGCCCTAAACATAGGACAGGTGCTGCTGTCCATACAGCAGCTGATGGCCGACCCCTTCCTGGATAACCCCTTTTGGACAGAAGCCGCCGGAGTTTATATGAGAGACCGACAGAAGTTCAACAAAACGGCCAAACAGTGGACACAGAAATACGCGAAACCACCCGTCCCTTAAAAAGGCTGATACAAAGTCT